AACTTTTAGGGAGAGGAACAGTTGCCATTATTTATAGAGTAACCAGGGAGGTCTCACTGAGGAATTAACATTTAAGATGAGTCTTTGCTATGATGGTTCTATTTTTGTTTTCAGTTAGTAGTGCTGGGGCAGAGAAATTCTAAATCCTAAGTCTGACAATTCATGGAGTAACTTCAAGATTGTTAGAAAAATTAGGATCTAAAGCCACTCATCTGCCAACAAAATACTAGCTGCTTATGGTCTGAAAGACTTTTGTGAGGTCCCCATAAAGGTCATGGTGGCTCATGCCCAACACTCTTAAAAAGGTTGCATCTTTGCAGCCAATAATGTGGCTCTGAAGCAGCCCTAGTGATGTAGTCGTTCTCGACAAGACCACTGACCAATGGACAGGGACCCATCTATAATGACTTGGCTGTGGAGTTTTAGGGTCTCTCTTTGTCTCTAGGGCCTTGGCAGCTGCCTGAGTAGGAAAATCTCAATAGAAATGATGGTAAGCTTTGCAATTGACTTCTCTACCTTTAAAATGTTTTTGGGAATTGATTTTATCTTTGTACCTAACCATCTCTTATTCAAAGGACCCCATTTAGGACAGTGGGAAGCACTTTGAAAAGATGTCACACATTGCTTAGACGCACATTACCTACTGCCTGTCAGTACCTGGGATATATGAATGTTTGTTTAGTCACTATCTTCCCTCCATCAGAATAAACAACTGGAGGGCAGGAAGCCTATTTTAGTCACAACTGTTAACCCAGTGCTACCAAAATAAAAACAATGTAGTATATGATCAAGAAATATTTGTCTAATTGAATAATTAACAGACTTCAAGCAATGTGGCAACAAGCAACACAACTAGCAACTATATGATAATATCTTATGTTTTACCTAAAGATCAAGAAATGGACACATTGACCTCTTATCAGTAGGGCCTGGACTTATCAGTAAGATCCAATCATTACTCTCTCCTCTATGTCAATCTGCCTCTCAGAGAAACTCATGCTCCTTAATGAGTGTTCAAACTGGCTTGTCATCCTCTCTCTGCCACTACTCAGTTGTGACCTTAGACATGGCTTTGATCTCTGTGGGCCTATTTCAGCTCTCAAATATTCTCATTTTATAACCTGGAAAAGCCAACACCCATTTGTGTGAAGCAAGAATACCTTTCTAAAGGAAGTGGAGCAAGCACCTACTTCTGAAAATTACTTTTTATAAGGAAGTCTGTTTTGCTCAAGGCAGTTAAGTCAATCTGTACCTGGGAGGTTTGTAAATAATATTCTTTTTGAATTATTGACTTTCATCTGTTTATAAAAAATACAGGGATTTGTTTGAGGCTTTGTATTTTTCATTTTTTATATCTGTCATCTCCCATGTTGTAGAAGACCAAAGAAACCCAAGTGACACTTAGAGAAATGAAGTTACACAGCTTTATTACACCAGCAGTCTCAGAGAAGTTGCCTCCAAAGTCTGAGCAAACCAGTATGGTGGAAGCTCTTCTTTTATTCCCTTTGGTTTCTTGACCCCCCCAGATATGGATGGGGACTTCTGGATCTTTCGTGGGGTTTGCAAAAAGCCCCGTGTGTTGGAATGGGAGCCTTGAGGCCATATCTAAGGACTTGGCCTGGCACCAGTGCTGATAACCCCCTTTGGGGGTTCATGGTTTATGGCCTTTGTAAAATGTGAGCATTTAGGCATCAGGTCTTGCAAGAGCAGATTGTGGGAAAGGGGCAGTGACTTAATTATAGGTTATCAAGAATGTACATTAGGTTACTGCACAGATTCAGATTGCTAGCCCCCCAAACATCAGGGTTACATTGGAATTGGCCTTTTAGCCTTCTCAACCACACACAAAAACAGATATGAAGTATAGAGAATTGAGAGTAAAACATGACTTAAAACATGACATCATTTTCTTGGAAATAGAGAATGTCATCATGAACTATGGAGGCAGAATTCAAATTGGAACTAGTAACAGAAAAATTTGGTAAAAGAAAGTCAACAAGAAGCAATGTGAGCAAAGATGTTCATTGCTGTATATTTTTTGTAGTGAAAACTAAAAATAAATTTCCATCAATAGGCATCTAAGTAAACTATAATGCATTTATACTATAGCAAGTGGTAAGACAGTTAAGAAGAATGATATGATACATACCCTCAAGACATAGTATTGAGAGAAAAAGAAGATAAGTTATAGAATATGGCCAGTATAATCCCATGTGTGTATATAGAAAAGAAAACAAAGCATATTTCTGATCTGACATATGTATGTTAACTCATAAGAAAAGGTCTCGGAGGAATAAAATGGTTAACAATGTTATGTCTGGGAATGAAGTAGGGTTGGTGGTGCTTGGTGCAATCAGAGTGCTTCACTTTCTGCTCTTGGCTTCTGTGCTTTGGACATTTTATTAAAGCATAGTCATGGTTTTCTTTTGTAATTATAACATTTAAAATTATTGGAGAGGAAAAGATGTGACAAAGAGCAATTGAGATACAAGGTAAGATTTTAGGTTAGGAGAAGGAAGATGAAGCACTTCAGGGTAGCAAGTTCTGCCAGTTGTCACCGTATTCTGTGATATTTTGTGAATGATGATTTGGAGATTGCACAGTGGTTTCAGGTTGGCATATGAACATATCTACATTACTCCAAAAGATGTGACCTCGAGCAGAAGATCCCCCAATAGACAAAAGCCAAGGATTTTTCATAGCATTTTCATATGTCTTTTTGTCTATTTGCTGGGTGAGAAAATTTTCATATATTTATGAAACATGTATTATTTCTATCTCTGTATGAATAATTCTGCCACAATAATAAAGCAGTTATATCTATCAGAGAAATTGTTTCTCCAGCTTGTGACTTTATTTCCACTTCGTTGGATTTGTTCACTTAATCTGTAATTTTTTTTGAGTCCTTGTATGCAACTCTGTGACCTGGCAGAGAACAGACAAGGCCTCTACTCTCATGGAACTTATAGTCAGGTGGTGGAGGTGAATGACAGTAAGAGCTAATAAAAATACCAGGAAGTGAGAACTCCTCTGATGAAAATTAAGCAAGGTGATGTGATAGGGTGTAATGGGGGAACTACTCTAAGTTAGGTAGTTAGGAAAGACTTCTTGAGGAAGTAATTCATAAACCAAGGCATGCAACAAGACAGAAAGGAGCCAGATGAGTGATCATTTGGAGGAAAAACATTCCAGGCAGAGGGACTAGGGTGTGCAAGAGTTTATAGGACTCAAAAGTTTGCTGCCTGGTTTGGACAAAGATAAATGAGAAAGGCAGGAACATGTCATGCTGCAAGGACAAGGTAAGGATTTTAGATTTTATTCCCGATTTGATGGGCAGCTATGGGCAGGGTCTGGGGGAAGGTTAATTACAGGGATCTGATATAAGTTTATAAAAAAAATCTCTCTGAATACCTTTTGATTATAAATAGATAAGAGTAGAAGTGGGGAGACCCATTGGAAAAATAGAGGAGGGCCAGGTGGGAGAAGATGGTGACTTTTAGAATAGGGTGGTAGCTATAGATATAAACTTGCTAGGGAAATATAGGATCAGAGATAACTCCTAGATTTTGTAGCTTCAGCTATCGGAAGGTGTTCTTCCTGAGATGGAGCAAACCAGGGAGAAACAGGTTTGGGGGAAATCAATGTCTTTTTTGGATGTATCATGTTATGATGCCCACTGGACATATGTCAGGCAGTAAAATATGCTAGCCTGGAGTTCAAGGAGAGGTCAGGAATAGAGACCCATGTGGGAGCCATCTACATACATAATGATGGTATTGAAAACCCTGGAAATGACTCCAAACTCTCATACTCACCGTGTGCCCCACTCTTTATTTAGGTAAAACTCACCTAAGCAGAATGCTTGTTTCTAGGTCTTTCCCTTTTTGACCTTGTTTTTGCTGTTGATGGTTGCTTTGAAGCCTTATAGTGTGAAGGACAGTGGGAGAAGAGTAGAAAGACACTGTGCTGGGCCTGTAATTACAGTGATGAGCGTGCTTCTCATTTGTGAAGCTCTTGACATTTTAATCATTACCTCATTTACCAAAGCTAAAAACTGAGCTTAAAATGAGCAGACTTTTTTTTAGATAGATTCTAGATTTACACTGTGTTCTTTAGTTATGATAAACTCATCACAAATTTATATTGCTATTATAATATAAACATTATATGCTAATATAAGTTACATGAAACAAAGTTTTTTTAAAATATATTTTATTGATTTTTCACAGAGAGGAAGGGAGAGGAATAGAGAGTTAGAAACATCGATGAGAGAGAAACATCGATCAGCTGCTTCCTGCACACTCCCCACTGGGGTTGTGCCTGCAACCAAGGTACATGCCCTTGACTGGAATCAAACCCGGGACCCTTCAGTCCACAGGCCGACGCTCTATCCACTGAGCCAAACCAGTCAGGGCTGAAACAAAGTTTTTAGTGCTATTGATTGTTCAGAATCTCACGTGCCATTGTCTACTTTGTTGAAATACAAACACAAACTAAATAAAAATAAGAAACTATGAAAATGTGCCTTTACTTATAGATAATATTTCCAATTTGGTTTTGACATTTACTTTTATTGGAATAATGCATGGGTGTTTTACATTTTTATGTTTTATCAATAGTATCCTTATACAACTTTATCCTTATAATAAAAACACTCTTCAATTATTTTTATGTTTTGAAAACCCTTTCATACCCCCATGTTTGCTGCTAGTTTATGACAGATTTTATTTTATTTTTTATTTTTATTGTTGAAAGTATTACAAACGTCCCCTTCCCACCCCCACCCCCCGCCATTGTCCCTTTCTAACCTGCCTCTGCTCTGCACCCCAGGCCTTCACCACACTGATTTTATTTCATTTTTTGACTTATAGATCCAAATGGATTAACTGTGTTGTTTAGGGTGAAGTACAAACTCTTTATTTTTTACATCCTCAACAGAAATTGCTTTAAAAAATATGGTTGAGCCCTCATTTATCTTGAATGATTCTTACTCACTGCAGATAAACTCTCCAGCCCTCTTGCTGGCACATGGTGAGTTCAAGGCCCTGATCTAGTACGACAACGGAATTTCATATCAGCCCTGAGCCTGGAAAGATGGTGTCACAGTCCTCGGGCCAGCAGGGTTTTCCTGTGGAGCCCTGGGAAGGGGTGAGTGATGACTCTGGTGACACTGATGGTTCACCCCACCTCCTGGACACTGACTACCCCTCTTGCCCATCAGACGTCAGGTTCACGAGGCACAAAGCTGCCTGGATTAACCCCCAGGATATGCAACCTCAGTTGCAGGACTTGCCGTTTCAGGTGCCAACAGTGGGGAACATTGGCAGCAACTTTGTGGGGGATGCTACCTCTCCCTTGGGCACTTCACCATTGTCTCTCGAGAACTCCATGGTGGAGACATCATTGTGGAAGGACACTGTGGACTCCATGGGCAGCTCAGGTCAAAAGAGCAGTGACTTTTCTTTTAACCCCACACAAGAGCGGGCAGTACCCCCAGGACGCTCTCCTTGGATGTCTCCGTTCACAAGCTCCAAGATTTTGACTGCTTCCCTATGTTCTGAAGCTGACAGTGCTTGTTCCAAGCCTTCTCACCTGACAGCTTCCACTGACGAAGGTAACTTTAGTCAGGGACTTTTCTCATTCTTGTCCATTCACACACTTGCTTTGTCTTGGTCTAAAGGTCTAAAGCCTGCCCCATTGTCTTCCTTATAAAAAAAATGTCATGGCTTTACTCTTAGACCAGAAGCCAGTGCATTAACTCATTTATTATTGTCTTTGGCCCATCTACCTGGACCGTTACAGCTGTGAAATCAAGTATTTCCTTTCTCCTTAGACTGCAGGGAAATGCCATCCTCAATGTAGTTGATAGTCAACATCACCAGTTAATTTTGAGCTCGTGTGTGCCTCAGGGACTTCCAGCTTATGAAATTGCCTGCAAGGCAGGGCATTGGAAGTACTCTCAATCCACTGTGCTGGTGTTTCCAGAAAGAATGGGCTCCATTGCACACCAGCACACCAGTACTTACTAGGAGATGAACTTGCCTTTCCTGTTATATTTACTTGGATAGAGTGTGACTAGAAAACAGTCAGTTTTAAAAATAGTAACCATGATTTCCCAAAGGCTATACAAATTAAGGGCTCCCATTGCTATGAGGTAATGCACATATTCCTAAAATACTGAAATTCCTAAAAGGATATAATCCATGCAAAATGCGACCGAGGAGTCAATAAATTAGCTATTGTTATAATTTATAGCATGCTTACTTTACTTTAAAATATTCATTATTTTATATTCATGCTTTGCATTAATTTATATTTCTGTTAGAACTCTAGTTCAAGTAGTCAATGAAGTTTTTTCTGTCAAAACAATTTTAAAAGCTGTCTATGTTTTGTGTGTAAGTTTGTATGCTTGTATGTATTTATATCTCACTAGCAGGAACAAGTCCTCCCCTTTGCTAAAATATGGGGTTTATTAGTTCTATTGGAAACTTTGAAAAGTCAGAGATGATGATAGTCTTCAACACATTAATCATTGCTGAAGAATAGCAGATTTTGGGCAATCTTTCAATGGACTAACTGAATAAGAACCAAATTTGAGCAAAATAAAACACTTTGATTATTGGCTTTTTTCTGTATTTTTTGCTCATCTGCTGAGATAGTTCTCAGGCAAAGAGTAATTTGCAAATTTAGTGGTTGCCAGATAAGAGGTTAGTCTCCTACTATATTGCCTCACAGTGGGGAGTGAGGAGAACATGGAGAAAAGGGAAAGCCCTCTCCCCTGCAAACCACCACCACTATGACAAGTTACATAGTGACAGGAGGGTCTCTTTAGGGCCTAGTGTACCTGTGACCCAAACCATTTGTTATATCACTGCATAGAAGTGGCTCTGCAATTTTAAATTATCCTGTAACTTTGTCTTTATAGAAAATAGGTATCCAGCCCAAACAATCTCTCTAAGTACCTTTAAAAAACCACTCTTTCTTTTAGGAGTATTTCTTTAACTTGGTCAAGGGATTCATTCCATGGGATTAAAAATAAAAATCCTGAGTGATCAGGTTCTTTCTGGCTGGTGTGGGTGGCAGCAATGGGGAGAACAGGCATTGATTTTCCTGTGACTGTTGCATCTCCAGTGGCAGCAGCAGGGTTTTCCTTTGCTAGATAAAATGGTAGGGAACGACCCCTTGTGCTGTCAGAAACAACTCCACACTTCCTTCATTTGCATAGGATCTACACATTTACAATGCACTTTGACATTCTTTACTCTTTTAACTTAGTAGATAATTACCCCAGTTCAAAAGATGAGGAAATTTTAATGTGTAGACACAGCTGGTGCATGGAGAGCTGGAACTGGAATCTACACTGTCTGACTCATCTCTGTGCTTTTCTCTATGTTCAGGGTCCAAAACTATGACTGGGTCACATTCGGCCAGCCTCCTGATTTTACAAATAACAACTTTGCTTGTTTTGTCTATAGCTGCTTTCTCACTACAGTGGAAAAACTGAGTAGTTGGAACAAATGTCATATGGACCTCATATTCTACAATATGTACTAGCTAGTTGCTCTTTTCTGAAAAAAATTGCCCACTCCAGATGGCTTCTAATTCCAAGAGGTTCAAAGTTTTCCATGGTCCAGACCGGCATGGCTCAGTGGTTGAGCATCAACCTAAGAACCAGGAGGTCACGGTTCAATTCCTGGTCAGGGCACATGCCCAGGTTGCGGGCTCAATCCCCATTATGGGGCGTGCAGGAAGCAACCTATCAATGATTCTCTTTCATCATTGATGTTTCTAGCTCTCTCTCCCTCCCCTTCTGCTCTGAAAAAAAAAAAAAAAGTTTTCCATGGAACAGTGGCTTCCTTGAAGATGAGGCAAGGGATTTGAGTGATCCTGCTTGTCTCTCTGTCCCCCGGAGAGCTGTATAATCATCAAGACATTGGCAGCATTTTCTTCTAATTCAGTGGATTGGTACAAGCCAGCTTTTATGGCTCTCACAAAAATGTTTTGACTTAAATGCTACAATAAGAAATCACATATGTTTTGCTGGTGTTCATTGCCAGTAATGGAGTTGCTTAAGGGTACAGACTGGATGAGTCAGCTGAATATACCTTCTGCAGTTTCTTCTTGTTTTTGATTGGAGGAAGACCATTTTAGTGAAACAAAGCTGACCTTTTTCAGATACTTTGTTTTTGCAAACAGGAAGTTTGGTCAATTTCAGTGAGTTAGAAAAGTGATTCCATGATTCTTATGGCTGTTTCTAGACTGTTTCTTCTCACCTTTCTTCATCTCCTTTAGGTAGTTTCCATGACTCTCTTCTCTTTCTGCCTCATTGGTCTCCTCCATGCCAGGGTTCGTCCATGTGTTCTTATTGTTCCAATGGCCTCTTGTAGAATGATAACCTTTAAGACAATATCTGCAAGCCTTACCGTAAGAAGGTTCATTCTTCTTTTGTCATCGTAATTTACTCTAGAGTTGTGCTAATTAAAAAACAACAACAATATTTAAAAGCCACTCTCTAGAATTATTTTGTTTTCTTAAATAATCGTTGGACTTCTTTTTCTCTATTTTTAATAACTTGCTGTATTGTCAGGTGCTGTTCAAATCAATAGAAGAAGCATTTCATTAAATTCCTTCTCAGCAGAAGCATTTGTGCATCCAGTTGATGTAGAAAAGGTGAATATTTTACTTTTACATTTTTTTATGCCACAAAGAGTGTTAATCCTTTAGATAGTGCTGTTATAATTTAAATATGGAAATTTCACTTCATGAGGCATGGCAAGTAGATTTCATTTCAGCATTTGATTGATAGAGGGTGGAGGCTGCCAAGTGCCCCAAGCTGAGAAGGGTTCTGAGGCAGTATCTATGCTCAGCTGGAAAGTCTGCCATGATTGATGAATGATGTCAACCATTGGGCCATCACCAAGCTAGGGTTTTATATCACAAGAAATTCAAATTAGGTTGTTTATTGATTGCAGTGGACTAAGTCTTATGTCTGGAAGATATGGACTATACTTTACATAATAACCTCTAATTAACTCCATTTAAATATGGCTTCTTGATTTTTATTTTTATTTTTTTGTAAGAGAATATTTATTTGGTAAACTACAGAGGTAGAAAAAGTAGTTCCTAGAAGAAATGGGCTTAGGAGAGAATTTATGGAGGTAAAGGAAGAGCCCTTGGAGCTTGAGAGTGAGAAAGCTAATGGTAATGTGCCTGGGGTGGGGGAGGGGGGAGGGAGAGTGATGTGGGAGAGGGAAGGAAAAGGAAAGGGAAAGGCACAGGTGTGACCCTGGGAAGGAGAGTGCCTGCTTCTTGATTTTTAAAAATGTAATATACCTCAATGAAAAAAAGTTGATTATCCTTTTGTGTTTTAACTGATTTTTTTTCTATAGGAAAATGCCCACTTTTATGCTGCAGATATGATTATATCAGCAATGGAGAAAATGAAGTGTAACATCCTGAGTCAACAGCACACAGAGAACTGGAGTATAGAAGAAGCCAGTGGGTCACTTGGGAATGATCAAAGGGACTCTGAAGTGACTTTTTATACCAATATAAAGCAAGAATCCGGGTCTTCCACTTTTTCAAACAGTGGCTATGAAGGCAAGTGGGGCAAATATGAGAAAGCTTTTTGCTGTAATCTCTACACATATTTATCTTCTCTGTCAAATCTGGAAGTATGTCTTTAAATCCTTTGTCTAAAACTTCTGAAATAACCTACTAGTATATTATCCTCATATGTGCCATTTGGGTTTGGGACTGGTTAGCATGCTCCACTCCATGGCTAAATCGATGTGCTGTTGTTTTTCTTGGACTTCATCCTAATTTTCCTTTTGGCAGTGGCTGAAATTTTCCATCTTCCTTTTGCTTTCGGTCACATAGCATTCTCTTAACTCTTCTTCCTTTCCAGGTCCTCTTTCATTCATTCCACAAACAAGGAGCCTGAGAGGTGCTGGGTGCTGGGCATCACCAGGCAACAAGATGTGCTCCTTCCCTCCAGGAGCTCTCGTGGTGGAGCCCAGGCTGTGTGGGATCATAGGCAGGGCTCCTATGACCCAGTGCAGTGGGTCCCAGTGTAGAAGGAGCTCTAGGGAGTTCTTCCTGGAAGGGAGGATAGATAAACTGAGAACTGAAGATAGGATTTGTCATTTTCTTACCATTTCTTAAGTGCAAATCCTGCTTCAGTCCTAGATTCTTCTCTTTCTACCCTGAGATTTTATCCACTGCAACATCTTTCCATTATTCCCTCTCTGTTGACATCTCTCACATCTGTGTTTTTAGTCCTGCAACTCCTTTATGTGCTTGCTCAATATTCCTAGGATCTGTGGAACATGTCCACCTGAATGGCCTCCCCGGATCTCTAACTTAACATCTCTAAACCAGTCATATCTCTATCACTCCCTCACAAGCCCCTTGCAGAAAAAGAAAAAAAAAAAAGCATTAAAAACGAATGCTTGCTTTTCCTTTTGACTTCCTTTACCTGGCATTTTAATCAGGACCCTTTCAGGAGAGAAGAACTCACTCCGTGTGGTACATATATAAACAATGCCTGGCATAAAATAGGTGTGTAATAAATTGTTATTGAATCCACTACCTAGCTCAAATTAAAAGGAACATTATTTAGAAAGTATATAGAGCATCCTCTATATAAAACTGACCAGTAAAGAAGCAGCTCTGGCATCTGTATTTTCTGAGGCAACAAAATGCAGTTGCTACTCTTCCTGCATATAGTTGCTTCATTCCCCCTTTCCACAGCCTGACTTCTTCATCCCTACACACCCCTTAGCCCTTGTTTTTGTCTGCCATCTCCTTGACTTCTCAGTCAGGGCCTCACAGCTCAGCCGTCTTGCTGGACCCCAAGTCTAGGCTACCAGAAAGAGCATGTGGTGGCACCTGCTTTAATTGGGTGTCCATAACTGGTCAGCTAGCTGTGTGACCAGTTTGGTCTGGGAATGCAATATAGATTGTCATCCCCTCTGAGGCCACCGTGGAGAGAAAAGGCATGTGGTTCATATTTCAGCATACTACCTTTGACTCTTTCTTATTCCTTGTGCCTCTACCTCTGTCCAGTTTCTAGTTAGTGAACAAATCAATTCTGACTTCTCAGTAATAGTGACATCCCCTCCATCCATTCTCCATTCCTGCCTTTTACCTGCAGCAGCCCTCTGGCCAGTCATTTTGTAACAACTGCATTTAGGTCCTCCATATGTATCTGCTGCCTTTAATTTTCTCTCTTTGCTTTCACACTCTTTTCCCTTATTATTGACCCTATACACATCTGTCTCTCTAGTCCTCTAAAATGGCCTGCTGAGTTTGTTCCACATTTAATCCTGCGATTTTTAGCCTTCTGGGAACCAGCTTCTCCCTACCTTCTCAGCAGGCATATCCTGCCATTTCTGTTGTAACATAGGCTTCAGTTATACTAGCCTGTTATACTTGTTTGTAGACATTTCTCATAAGCTCCGGCCTCCCTCCCTTTACTTCAGCGAGGCTCTCTTGGAACACGTTATTAGTTCCTTCATCATTCCCATTCTTCAAAAGCAGTTTTTTGCCACCAGCACTGTGACGTGTTCCCTGATTTTCATCAGGAGAGGAGTACCATTCATATGGGATGGAACATAAGTTGTGCTCTGGAATACTCTCTAATTGTCTAGGCTCGTGTCTTCCCCTGGAGTTGTGCAATGTGGATCTCACCTCTGAACTTCTTAAAGCCCATGGCACACAACTGTGTTTCCTTAAATTCTTTGATAGATGAGATTTATCTTATTTGTATTTGCATTCAGCATAGTGCCTTGTTTGAAATAGGTATTTAAAAAATGTATTAAATGGTTGAATACTAATGTTTAGATGAAATTTTAAAAATATATATGTTAAAGAAATTTAAAAATATTTCTACCATCCAAATAAAATATTTATCTTTTACTAGTATTAAGTATCATTCTTTAAAAATTTCTTTATTATTCTTATTTTTTTTTATTGTTGACAGTATTATAGCTATCTCTCGCTTTCTCCCTTTTTGACCCCCTCCACACAACCCCTGCCCCTCCCCAGGCCTTCCCCTAACTATTATATGTGTCCATGGCTTATGAATATATGCATATACGTTCTTTTGTTAATCTCTTCCTGTCCCCTCCCAACCCCACCATTAGAGATTTATTATTCTGTTCCATGCATCCATACTGCTGGACCTATTTTGTCATCAATTTATTTTGTTCATTAGATTCCACATATAAGTGAGATCATGTGATAATTTGTCTTTCTCTAAATCGCTTGTTTTGCTTAACATAATACCCTACAGGTCCCTCCATGCTGTCTCAAAGGGCAAGAGATCCTTCTTTTTACTGCTGCATAGTATTCCATGGCGTAAATGTACCACAGTTTTTTTATCCACTCACCTACTGATGGGCACTTGGGCTGTTTCCAGATCCCTTTTGCATGGGCACTTGGGCTGTTTCCAGATATTAGCAATTGTAAGTAATGCTGCTTTGAACATAAGCATGCATATATTTATTCTGATTGTGTTTCGGGATTCTCAGGATATACTCCGAGAAGTGGGATTGCTGGGTCAAATGGCAGTTCCATTTTTAATTATTTAAGGAACCTCCATTCTCTTTTATAATGTCTGCACCAGTCTGCATTTCCACCAGCAGTGTACTAGGGTTCCCTTCTCTTTACATTCTTGCTAGTAATTGCTTGTTGATTTATTGATGGTACCCATTCTGCCAGGTGTGAGGTGATATCTCATTGTCATTTTAATTTGAATTTCTCTGATGATTAGTGACATTGAGCATTTTTTCAGATGTCTATTGGCCATCTGTATGTCCTCTGCCTATTTTTAAATTAGATTGTCTTCCTGGTGTTGAGTTGTATGAGTTCTTTGTATATTTTGGAAAATAAACTCTTATCATATGTATTATTGGTGAATATGTTTTCCTATTCAGCCGTACAGTAGGTTCCTTTTTAATTTTGTTGATGGTTTCCTTTGCTGTGCAGAAGCATTTTAGTTTGATATAGTTCCTTTTGTTTATTTTTTCATTTGTTTCTCTTGCCCTAGGACAATTGTCGGCAAACTGCGGCTTGCGAGCCACATGCTGCTCTTTGGCCCCTTGAGTGTGGCTCTTCCACAAAATACCACGTGGGGGCGCGCATGTACAGTGCGATTGAAACTCCGTGGCCCATTCGCAGAAGTCGGTATTTTGTGGAAGAGCCACACTCAAGGCGCCAAAGAGTCGCATGTGGCTTGAGAGCCGCAGTTTGCCGACCACTGCCCTAGGAGATGTTTTGGTGAAAATACCGCTACGTGAGATGTCTGAGATTTTACTGTCTGTGTTTTTTTCTTTTTTGCATGTACCTGTCCTATTTACCAAACACCATTTATTAAAGAGAACGTCTTTACTCCATTGTATGCGTCTCTATAGTCTTTCTCAAATATTGACCATATTGGCATGGGTTGATTTCTGGAGTCTCTGTCCTGTTGCATTGGTCTCTATGCCTGTTCTTGTGCCAGTACCAGGTTGTTTTATTACAATGGCTTTGTAGTATAGTTTATTATCTAGTATCATGATCTCTCTAGCTTTGTTCTTCTTTCTCAAGATTTCTGTGGCTATTCGGGGTCTTTTTGGAGTATTTGTTGTAGACATGAGAAATATGCTATTGATATTTAAATAGGGATTGTGTTGAATGTGTAGATTGCTTTGGGTAGAATGGACATTTGAATAATATTAATTCTTCTAATCCATGAACATAGTGTATGCTTCTACTTGTTTGTTTCCGGGGTTCTTGTCCTAGCATCAAGAAGGGTTCAGGAATCTGGAGAAGGGGCTGTGCGTAGATGACATAGGAATCCAGAGACTAATAAAGAGTCCGGAGATGAAATATAATTTTGAAAGGCACTGGGGGTCAGAGGAGCTTAGCTAAAGGAGCTAAGATCCAGGTCTTAAGTCTAAGGTCTTAGGTTCTCTCTGTCCCCAGGCCCCTATGATTTTTATTAACACAACTTGTCCTGAGGCAAGGCAGAGATATACACTTCCAAGGGTCAGTGTTTGTTACAGAGTCCATTTTCAGAATGGGGGAATTAGCCCATGGCTGTTCAGGCCAGGAGGAGGCAATAACATGTAGATTAAGATGCCCTTTAACTATCTGGCAGCCACAATCAATTTAATGTATCCTATTCAGGTTTGGGGAAATGCCTTTAGCCATTCTCAGCTGGTGACTACATGTGTGACTCAACCCTGTTGAGTCCCCAAGTCTCATCAACCTTTTGATGAAACTCTTGAAATTATGACATGCTGGAATTGGTTCCCGGTAGTTTGTATTTTCCTCTATTTCATTTTTTAATGTCCTGTAGTTTTCTGAGTACAAGTCTCTTACCTCATTAGTTATGTTTATTCTCAGGTATCTTATTTTCTTTTGTTGTAATTGTAAATGGTATATATATTTTTTTACTTTCCCTTTCTGAGGGTTTATTACTAGTGTATAAAAATGCCATCAATTTCTGGGTGTTAATTTTGTATCTTGCTACTTTGCAGAATTTATATATTAAATCTAGTAGGTTTGGGGTGGAGTCTTTAGGGTTTTCTATATACAATATCATGCCATCTGCA